GAAAACGCGTTCAATTTTTAGCTCGTAAACTCTCTAGAAGGCACAATTCTTGACGGATTTTGACGAAACTTGGCATGAGTGTTTGTTATCAACCAAGGATAAACCCTATTGAAAATCAGAAAAATCGAAAAATATTTAGTATGAGTTATGCCCTTGTTCTTGAAAACGCGTTCAATTTTTAGCTTGTAAACACTCTAGAAGGCACAATTCTTGACGGATTTTGACGAAACTTGGTGTGAGTGTTCGTAATCACCCAAGGATGAACCCTATTGAAAATCAGAAAAATCGAAAAATATTTAGTATGAGTTATTGCCCTTGTTCTTGAAAACGCGTTCAATTTTTAGCTCGTAATCACTCTAGAAGGCACAATTCTTGACAGATTTTGATGAAACTTGGTGTGAGTGTTTGTAATCACCCAAGGATAAACCCTATTGAAAATAAGAAGAATTGAAAAATAATTAGTATGAGTCATTGCCCTCGTCCATGAAAACGCTTTCAAATTTAGCTTTTAAACACTAAAAGTCATGATTCTTGCTGGATTTTGACAAAACTTGGTTTTTTTTATTCAGTCCTGCGCTGAAGATTGAATATTTGCCTTCTAGAGTTTTCACGAGCTAAAAATTGAACAAGAACACGTGCAATAACTCATACTCAATATTATTCAGTATCGCCCTAAAGAATTCAGAAGAAGTGTATGACTGAAGGTTGAATATTTCATACTGGTGATTGCTACTGTACTGCTGAATATTTTTATTCAAAAATCAAAGCTGCCAGTGGGCTTATATTACCTTGCCTGGCAAGCTATCTTTAAAGTCATGTACATATCTGATGATAAAATGTGCTTTTAAGTGAAAACAAAAAACCTTAAAAAATATTTGAAATTTGGCAGGGGCAAATTAAATACTTGTAGACGTGTAGTTTCATGATGAATATTTTTGAATATTAGTATGGAGGTTTCTAAGGCACCCCTTAAGATATTCGCTGATACACAAGCGAATACACGTAGCCGGGTTACCAACTGTGAAAGTGCACACATTCTTAGGTAGTTGTATGCAGGGCTTGATATTGTATATCATACAATATGGAAGGAACCCAGCAGCGTTGATGGCAAACATTCAATTTAGATATGAAAGTAGGAGTAAAATGTGTAAGATATCTATTCACTGGGAGGATTGATATTAAAGTTATGGTCGTCATTAACGAGAAACCATCAAGAATCAATTAACTCCTCATAGAGTACATCATCATCATAAAATATAGAATTTGATCTCATTGATGCAAGAACTAATCTACACAGATATAAATACTAGTGTTAAAAAATAATAATGCATTAGCTGACGACAGTGGCGTTTCTTGGAAACAATAGTTGAAAGGGCCGAGCAGGGGCCACAAATTTTTTCCAGGAGGGCCACAGGCTATTCTATCACTATGGAAATTGGTGTTGCAATGAAAAAAGGCGCAGCCTGTCTCGCTCTTAATGCCCAGCAAAAGATTTGTTGGTGAAAAAGTCCACAGTTTATATCACAGTCATTTAACATTCAAATAGTAGGTAATTGACCCACCAATGATGCACGTGAGAAATTTGAAAATGAGTGAATATGAAGCTGTTATAGAACTATTTTAATACAATATATAAACTATATCTGTATATCGAGTTGTTTATTTTAGCTGATATTTTAATATTCTGGTAATTTATAGATGGATATCACACCATCTGTTCTATATTCAACATTTCTAGCTGTTTTCTTACACAAAGTACATAGAAACTCTATAAGACATATAGGTAGTTTTTAAGGAACAGACATGAATTACAATGCATCAAGAGAGGTACTTGAAAACAACAACACGTTTTTACAACTATAACAACATAGTTTAAAGATTCATTCGATAATCTAGTACTTTACACAACCCTTGAGCATTGATATTTGACGAGCTATCGGTACACAGTAGGGTTACCGAATGGGGAATAGTTTGTATCCCCGATGGTACCTCCACTTTATTTTTAAAAAATTAAAAACATATATGATTTTTTGCCCTTATATTCGTGTCGGAATGGACCAAATCAATTCAAGGTAATGTTAATGAACTAAACGTCTCAACAGTTTATTGCTGCAACTTCATATCTTAGTACTCGAGTACTAAGGAAAGAGATTCTAATTACTGCTCAACACCTCTCGTTCTATTGTAACTACATAGAACTATACTCGCCAATGGTTTATACCTGATTACTGTAGCTGTAAATTGAAAAGAAATTTTACGTCCTGCTTACACCTTACTAGGTTAATGCAATTGGGTTAATGAAGCCATTCTGATTAAAAATGATTTAATGCAGCTACGCAATAATGGTGTACAAGTATGTGAGCTATGCCTAAGAAAATAGAAAGTACAGAAAACTAAGTCAGTTATTATTTGTATCTTAATAATACAATTATTGTCAGCTTTCTCTCTTAATAACATTTCTTCAATATATTAACATGCTTTCTGAAACAAGGTCAAGGACATCTGGAAGGTGATAAATAATGGCACCCTGCTGACATCAAAGAAGCATCAAGTTTTTCTATAATTGTTACCCAAATTCATCAAACGTTTCGACGTCAATGTTTTACATTGTCGGCATGCATTCAAAGGCAATAATTCTATAGGTTCTGTCACGGCTTTCCTTTTTAAAGCAAAACTAGACCACAGCTAGAAGAATCTGACTTGTGTTAACACGATCCTGTTTTTCATAATTCTGAAGTTAAGGAGTGCTTTGTGAACAAACCATTATAGAATAAATCAGATTGCGAGGCATTAGTTAAAGATGGGTTCCTTTATTTTCATTTTTGAAAATGAAAATGCTAATACTTATATAAATAGAAAGTAGGGGTGTTCTAATGACTTGAAAATATACCAGTTTGTCTCACATGTCCATAATTCATTCATAATTAGCTAAATTAGAAGAGAATTACCAGCATAATTCTAATGAGTGACCGGTCGGGAAAGGTTATAAAGCCTTTTTTTGATTATCCAGACAATACATACATGGACATTTATGATTTGATAAAATTCTTAATTATATGCAATAATAACATAATGATATGATTAAGAATACATGATAATTCATTAGAAACAGCTACTAATCAAATAGTTTGCTTAATTTGACATTAAAATAAATAATAAGGAAACCCATCTTTAAGGACAGATTATATCAACAGCTATACATGTCGATAATATAAATACATAAATTAGCGTTGGTTTGAAAAAAGCATGTCTAATAGTACGTTTTGGCCGTAACACAGCGACAACGCCCAAAAAAGAATGTGTCGTGATGTAAAACACAACCGCATCCAATGTGTGTGTTATGATATAATATACCTATGTGTTTATGTTGGTATGGTGTGAAAATATAATACTGTTATAATAAATAACGATAGTTTAATTATATATTTACTGTTTTATCGTGTTCTTTATTATTCCAATAATTAATACTCTGGCAGCCTCCCAGCTTTAATTATTACTGATCTTCAGACTGAGATAGTGTCATATGCCAAGCTCAGTGCTATTGTATTCTCAAGTGTACAACTATTGTAATCATATGAACAAACTATCATATTTAAAAATCAAGGTAGTTTCTATCACACAAGAACAAAATTTGTAATTATTATCTAAAACTATTTTAAACGGCGGTACAAACTATTGTAATCATATTTAACATTGTTCGAATAAAATAAAGTAAAAAGTGTACTCTTACGTTAAATCCTATTATAATAAATTGCGATTTCAAAATCATTTCTGTTTGCAAACTACAAATTATGGAGTCAGAACCCCCGTAAAAAAAAACAGTATATACATACAACTATGAAACAGGACAGGGTGCAGAAACTATCGTAAGATGGTCCGATATACGATAGGATGGAAAATTACGGAATCATACACATTATGGTGGTGGACTTCAACAGTTTCTACTCATATAAGTCAGAACGTACACACGGGTTGATTAGATTGGAATTTCAGGTGAATCCTACACGTTTAAAGGTATGTTAAGTAAATATAACAAATATCGTATATTTTCTACTTGATGAAATGGAAGGTTAAATGTAGAATTTAGATTGATTAGAGTTGAGTAAAAAAACTGTAGGAGAAATTCTAGACTCGATAATTAGCGATTTACAGATAAATTATACTGATTAAACTCGTACCAAGATTTTAAAGGTACATTGTCGAAGAATACGAAGTCAGTTGATCAAATCATACAAGGTATACGTTACTTTTACTCATACAGAAGAGCAATTGGACATGAAAGACTACTTATTCGGCCAAATACGGTATAATACATTGTAACGTAAAATTCTATTATATTCAGGTAGGTTCAGAACAACATAGTACGCAATGAAGTGGAAAATTTAAATCTACGATAGCTCAGTTATGCGTAGGTCAACAGATAACTATAAATCATTAAACTTTCATTCAATTCCAATGAAGAGAACATAAATTCGTAGAAAGACAATGAATTAGAGGTTCCATTCACGTGCACTTCCCTATGTTATCTGTTCAGGTCAACCTTGTTACTTTTTTATTGGCGTCCATCACCCCTTCTGTAAAATAAAGAACATTCCAATTGAAGCAAGTAAACTAAAACCATTCAATTTTGTGTTTCATTATGGATATGTGTTTACAATAAACTTTCAGTCACTTTTTTTGTTTTCCTCGCTTAATCTGAATTCGATTTTTAATTAGTGGATAGGAATCGGGTATCGTCAATGGAAACCCTACTAACATCAAAGGAATCCACGATACCTTAATTATAAGTAGGTCAACTGTTAACTATAATTTTTCAACAGATAACTGAAACTTAATTCATTAAAATTTCATTCAATGATAAAAAGGTGATATATTTACTATTAAACCATATTTCTATAGATAGATAATGTGATAAGTGGAATGTTCGGTATTTAGAAATCGGAAGAAAAACTTGTTTCAAGATTTGGTTACAAGTGGTTATCTATTTTAAAGGTTAAATAAGATTACGATTTAATCGTAAGGTTAATAGTGGAATTATTCTAAGCTTAATTTAAATAATCAAGTTAATCTATAATTTACCCATTCATTCACCTCATCACTCTACAAGAGAACATTTAATCTGAAAATTTGCTTGCGTTTACAATAGTTCCCTGCAAACATCTATCTGTAAATTGTTGTCAGTTTCAGTACTTTCAGCTTTGTTTTAATTGTAGGCTAACGCGATGTCAAACTTGCGTTCTGAAAATCACAAATGTTTACCAAGATGCAATCATTTTTAGGAAATCCAGTAGACTTTTTTGCCGTTTATTGGCTATTAAACTTGGCACATTGGCTTGGTTATTTTTTAATTGCGAGAGGCGAAGTTGCAGTTTGCAACCACCATATAGGTTCCAGCGTGAAATGATAATTCTAGTTTAAGATTGATACTTGGGTAATGATATTATCATTATCTGGCTGTTTCACCTTCTTACATAGAAAACCAGAAAACTTTATATTGGAATTCTTCTGACATAGAAAAACTTTACCTCAACATTATAAAAAGGTTATTAGAAGGTATATAATATCTAGAAAGGCGCCGACCAGACCACAGATCATTAGATTATAAACTTGAAAAAAAAACAAGTTTTTACGTTTTTAATGAATTTCATAGATCGAATTTCACGAATACACAGTTTATTTAATTATTATTCCTATTCCAACGCTTTTCGAGACACTCCAATATCGTCTTCATACTATAAACAACCCTATCGCACTTGAAGAATATTAAATATTTTTGAGTGAGTTATTTTGATTCGTTGACTGGTAGACATGCTTCCACATGACCCAGCTGTCAGTGGGTGTTGAACTTAGTGATCTTAAGATATGCTGATAGTCCATGAAAGATCATGATGTGGCAAAGGACAGGTCTGAATCCCTGTATCTAATTCTCTGGCGTCCTTGCATTCACGGACGGATCTACCATACTCACTCACTCACTGACAATGTACATTTAAGACAATTGCAGGTAGTTGTCTTTCTAGAATCACCTATTCAACTTACTGAACCAACTTATGACCTGGAATAATTAAACCTGTCACCTGTCGATGAACTTTAGATATGGCCAATCATTTGTACTATTAGTTCTTAAGCACAACGTTAAAAGCAATCACACTAATTGAAAATATCCTACGTCAAGATCTTATTTGTACATATCTGTATTGTGTATGACCAGGCATTAACTTATAAACCCATAAGAATATCTACTACAAACTATCGCCGATAATAGTTATTTTTTCTACAAAACTTTATTTTTCACATATCTTTCTCTTTGAACGTATCACGATGTTTCGTCAGTATTGTCCCCTTGTCCCTGTGCGTATGGTTGCATCTTGTCTGCGTTTTATGCATTGCTTAACGACCCTTTTAATAAAAATCCATACAAGTAATCAAAAATCTCCTCAAATTTGGAAGCAATAATAGAATAGCTAATATCAGAGATGACGTACCCAGACATATATTTGCATGTTAATCATTCATTTAAAATATTCAGATGTTGGTGCATGTCATTGTGTTTATCTGTTTCAAACCGAATCAATGTAAAATAAAACATTCCACCCAAATGTTGATAAAACAACTGATAGACAGCTATAAAATATTTTAGAGAAGTCCAGTTTTCAATGCTACTCTAATCGTTATCTGGAATAGACGTTATAGATATCTGCACAAATTGATAACCGTTTTTCACTTCTGTATGATATGATGATATTGAAATGATGTTGTGAACCGAAA